ATGGCTGGCTGGGGAATTCTGGGAGTTGAAGTCCACACATCTTAAAGATGCCAAGGTTGAGAAACACGGGGGTAGAAAAAGATGGAAAACTAACTTTGCTCCTGACTCACATCTCTAACATCACCGCTCTTCTCCAGATCCTGAACTGTCACCCATTTAATCCTCGAACTGCAGGAATTTGCCAGGGTCCATTTCAGGGGTGACCACGGGGAGAGGGGGGCAAAAAAGTCAGGTTGGCAGCCACGATCAAATTCCCCCCCCTTTAACATGCCATGTGTACAGAGTGGCAGCGTCCCTTTTGACTTTTTTGCCCCCCCAACCAACGGTCCTGATCTGTTGGTTGATGCCACGATGCCCGCGGTTTTGAAGCAGCCTTCCGGGACAAGCCAAGGGGCTTCCCGCGCTCCTTCCACGTACCTCTCGAAGGCAATATTGCGCGTGTCCAGATGCGTGGCGACCACGGGGGCCATCAGGCGCCCCATCACCTGCTCCTCGGTGGGCTGCATCGCCGCGAGGATGGCCTCTTGGTCGTGGGAAGCCAGCGCAAGCGTTTCAGAGTAAACCACCCGCCGGTTGTGATCCACCTCCATGACCACCGCGCTTGTATCTGGGGGAGAGGAAGGGGGGAAGAGAGGGGCTACCTCTTTGAACAAAGCCCCTTCCCCAGAGGCACTGGCGGGGGGTGTCCAAGGGTGCCAAATCATGAAAGCAGCCTTGGGTCACAAGCCCACCCCCCTTTGTAAGCACGTCGTGGCATCACACCCATGCACGTGCTGGCTGGGGAATTCTGGGAGTTGAAGTCCACACATCTTCAAGTTGCCAAGGTCAAAAACTGCTGGGTCGGCAGAAGCCCAGAAAAACAAGCGCATACGTTAAGCATTGCTTTCACGGGGGTTGTGGACCCATCAAAACGGATTCGGACGTAGAGCAATCGGGCGCAAGCGTAGCGCAGCCGGGCGCCTCCTTAAAGCAGCCTGCTTTATCCAAGGTTCTGCAGGAGAGTGAAAAACGATGCTGCTGCTTTCAGTGAACTGAACCCTGAAAGCAGGCTGCTTTAAGGAGGCGCCCGGCTGCGCTACGCTTGCACCCGATTGCTCTACGTCCGAATCCGTTTTGATGGGTCCACAACCCCCGTGAAAGCAATGCTTAACGTATGCGCTTGTTTTTCTGGGCTTCTGCCGACCCAGCATTTTTTGACCTTGGCAGCTTGAAGATGTGTGTTCTGCAACTCCCAGAATTCCCCAGCCAGCTCGTGCATGGGTGTGATGCCACGACGTGCTTAC